TACCGCATGAAAGATTAACATTAAATTGTGAATTAAAGGTCCAGTGTGTAGGATTTATTTAATGCAGAGAAGAATACCACCTCTCCACTAATACAGTTTTAGTGAAAACAAAGGGGATGTTTGTGCCAGGTCTGATATATGGACTGAATTATACTGTACAGGTGTCCCCCTGCTGTGTTTCTGGTCCATCTGATTCTTGTCCAGTGGTTCTGAGCTGTGTGCCCTTCTGACAGACCAAGGTTGTTTCTTGCTAAAGCAGCAAAGCCCCTGTAGGCCATTTGTGACTCAACCAAGGACATTTCACCTCACTGCACCACCAGCCAGATGCTGAATGTAACTGAAAGGTCTTCATCATGGACACCGTCTCATCTGGAAAGTCAGAGTCACAAAATGTTTCAAGAGGGACGGAGGGAAGAGTTTTACTTTTACCTGTAAACTAATGGTTTTGTGTATATGTATAAGTCATTCCAAATGAAGTTGCAATAATCAGAAATTATTAAATGAATCAGTCAGATTACATGAAATTATTCACAGTCAGTGAGTAAATAAAAAACTGTGACTTGGAGGGGAGTCATGATGTTCTCACAATAAAAAGTGTGACACCGAAAAGAGTCATTGAGCATCTGTGGGCTTGAGGCGGCGCGTTGTATTTTTCCAGTCAGTAATTAAGTGGTGAAAAGATATATTTTACTTGAATCACTACAAATCAGAGCATACTGAAAACGAAAATATATAATCTGTGTAGCATATTATAGGAGAGATAAATACAAATGATACTGTAGAATCAGCCTCAAATGCCTGCAAGAGGCCATGTTATCCTCAGTTTTTATTTTTGTTACAGTCTTGGCTCCTTTTATTGAGGTTCAGTGTTATTATGCGTCCCTAGGCAGACAGTGGCCCGGAGCGTCGGCGCTCATCAGTGACTCAGTGTGTGTGCAGGGGATGACAGTGCCAACCTGGAGCCAACAGAGAGTGCTAATTGTGTCTGTTTGGACTCCAAAGAATAATTCTGGGAAATCAAACCAGTTACAATCACTAGTGAGTGTAATCTTTGGCTGCCTACAGAGGGCAGGTTGTCCCAGGACTCCCAGCAAGCTATCCCGAATTGTGCTTATGATCTTCTTTAAGTCAGCTTAAAGCAGATTTCAATAATTCATTGCATCTTAAATTAATAGTTTTATTGGGTGTTTGTCTTAATGATGTTGTTTCCTCAGAGCTGCAGAATAAATAAACCAGTCATGCTAAAATATATTATGATCTACATGCTCTAATAACTCTTACTGAGCTAGTGGAGCGTGCAGATCAACATTTGGTGACACTCTTACTCTCCGTCTTTGTAGATCTAAAGAGACTCAACACACCCTGAGACATCGCTGCTCTTTCCTCGAAGTCCTTGAAGCTGCGTTTACTTGAATAAAATTCTGCATAATTTGTGATTAGCAGTGAAGGTGAGATATGTGAGGATGTCGCTCCAAGGCTTTTCCCAGCTCAGATAGGTGGTGAGGTGCATGATGGGGTGTTAGTAATCAGTCTGATGTGACCTTCCAGGTGGATGTTGTTCTCTGTGGGATTGTAGGAGGATAAAACTGCAGCAGAGCTAATTTACCTCAGGTACTGACTTCCCACATGTTGTATAAATATTGACCACTATGCATCACAGAGGATGATGTATAAGTCTAAATACCAGTACATTAAGAAAAATAAGCAATACAAATAAATCTATGTGGCATTATTATTTAAGGTAATGTGCATACTCAATTGCTGGGATGATATGAATATGAGTATGTCAGTCATGGGAGCGATGAAGCTGAGTGAAACAAGTCAACTCTGTATGAAATGATGCAAAAGGATTTTCACAGATCAACTCAGCCCTAAGGGTTTGACGTCAGCCCAAATAAGATCTCTTCTTACTAGAACAGTGAGTTTTTGTGCCTGCGTGAGTGTGTGCATGCTGCCTCCTGCGTCAGACTGCTGAACTGACATGCTCTGACAGAAAGACAAATAGAGGCTAATACATTGCTTTTGTTTCGGCCCCATATTGCTTTTACCCTAGACACATTCATCTTAAAAATTGGAAGGATAGGAATTTGTGTTCCAGAGTAATTGCCCGCAGTGTGGGCACTTGAATGAGGCTTTTTACTGTGAAACTAAAATGTAATGGTCATGATGATATCATCTGTCATCGTTATGATCAATAAAGAAATGCTGTTAAAAGCCCTGCTCTCTGGGCATGGATCACTGTTGATGTGCAGAATAAGGAGGATATTTTCTGGGATTTCAGGTTCTGCAGTTATTTGTTAAATGTGAGAGCTCCCCCTACTGATGAGAGCTCAGTTCACAACGGTAAACAATATTAGATCAGCAGCTGCAATTGAGCATGAATCAGCCCACCTGTGTTCAGTTAAATAGGGGAAAAGGAAACCGAACTAATATGGTTGCAAAACACATTGAACACTACTCCTAATGGCTGGTGATACACACAGTGTGTGTGAGTGTGTGTGTGTTTCTGCCCTGAGGTTGATGCACTGTAATCTGCTGTGGGTGGATAGGACGGGTCGGTGAATGGAGGTGCAGGTTGGGGGGGGGGACCCAGGCAAGCAGGGAGGCTGAAGTCGGAGGTTGCCATAGAAACCATTGTATTTCCCTCCCCTGTGATTGGTGCTGCTGGCGTGGGCAAGTATATGCTATTTCTGTCATTATTCAACACCTCAGACACGAGCGCAGTCACAGGACACAGACACAGACACAGACACAGACACACACACACACACACACACACACACACACACACACACCTCACACACACACACACACACACACACACACACACACACACACACACACACACACACACACACACACACTAACTGAATACATAGAGCTTGAAGAGTGGAGCATTAACAAACACAAACAAAGACTCTTTTATCCATTTCCATCTTCAAAATGTCTCAGTAGTATCATTATCATCCCATCTTGGATTATTATACATAAAAACTTTCAGGACATTATTTAGCCAACCATTAGTTTGTGCCACGGTTTACCCCTAAAACACATTTCAGGGGAAAAACAGATCATATGAAAAAAAAAAGAAATCCACCAAAAACCAACAACATGTAAGACAAAGCAGGTTAATGTCAGGCAACCTTTATGGACCAGTAACACAGCTGTGGATCAATAAATGAACATGTGTTTAATTTACCGATTGATTTATCAGTAAAAAGAAGAAGAGCTGCACTTCCACTGATGAATGAGTTCTTTGGGAAATACACTGCATGAAAGAAGGATGTCACATACTGATGTGTGGTCCATTCATGCAAATCCTGAGGGAGGAATAAGCAATTTTCAGAACATAAAAGAAAAAAACCAACAACCTGAAAATAAAACCTGTACAGTGTGCACTGGATAACAAAGGGGATGTACACAGTAAAATACAGTAAAATGAAAAAATGAGTAGAGTTGACAGATACAACAGCCACCTCCATATATCAAAAGGTTATTTCTTGTGTCCAAAGCACATTGTTATTAAATCACCTCATTTGACACTATTACTATGAATATGATTCACAGAGGATATGAGCTGGAGGCAGAAATGATGGGTCGACCTCTTTACAAGGGTTTAATCCTAAAATAAGATAGTCAAACTGATGAGATATCCCATAAAATGACAAAATGTAAAGACAAATGACAAAAGACATCTTCTTATAATATTCATAAAGTCCTGCTAACATCTATTCTCTTATTCAAATGGTAGGATTGGGATTGATCCAAACATGACTTAATGTTAGATATATTTTCCTGATATTACTTTTGACACCAGGTTATGTATTATAAGTATATATACTGTCAATGATTGTAAGAAGAGGAGGTGTAATAAGCTATAAAGCTTCAGCCAACACCTTTTAGGTCTGTAGATAATCTCCTACCTTGTGTTATGGGGTTGTTGTATTTTCTTCTGTGTTTTCTACATATTTTCTTCTGTGTTTTCTACATATTTTCTTTCCTGTTTTTGCAAAATGGTTATGTAATTATAAATCCAAAAATATGTGTCAAATTTCTAGACTCTCTTAACTAAATTAAATTACAACCTGCTCTCAAGCTTGATTCTTTCTTTCAGTCACTTTGAAGATTTTAAAGGTTTATTATCTGATGTTTTATGACTCTTTTCAAGGCCTCCAACTAACACTTATTTACATTATATATGAATATATAGATTTTTAGTCTATAAAATATTTTTTAAAAACCAAGTCCCTTAAAACCTTTGCTAAATAAAATATAAAACACAAACATCTCTTACTTTTGCTTGACTGTAACAATTCCAATCAATTATCTGTCAATCAACTACAGATAATCAATCTTTTCTGTTGATTGTCTCACATTACATTATGTTATTGTTGCTGGTTGTTTGACTGTAAATTTTTTTTGTTCTCAGGTCTCTTGATTCCACTGAGTCTCCCTGATGAAATTATAACAAAGTGACTACTAATATTTACAAAATATCCTAAAAATGTGAGTTAAGACGTTGTAAAGATCTGAATTGCATAATCCATTGGCTCTTGCACCTCACACTCAAGTGGTAAACAAACGTATTCCTCTGGGCAGGAAATAGTTCACTGTGACATGTATGTTGTGTGGCTTTTGTAAATGTTAATCTCAGCTCATTAACATTAACCTCTGGGATTCTTTTCCTCTCTGCAAATCAATAATCCAGCCTCGTGAGACGGCTTTTGCCGGATTGTGCATCGAGGGAGATCTTGGTGAGCTCAGCATAAGGAGACAGAGAATTACAGAAATTCTGATCCAGGGGATAAAAGTGATTTTCTCTCCTAACTATTGGCCACTTCTGCACCTGTTACTGGGACCTGATGTGACCTGCGGGGAGATTATTGGGTGAAAAGCAGAGCCATCCCTCCATGAGGAAGCCCAGAGGCAGCGAGGCACTAAGACCCAGTGGAGAACAGTGGAGGCTGGGTGCTGCCTTCCCACCAGCCGCCTGCCTGTCTGCTCTGCACGGCTCTGCAGTTGCCCTGGGCGCGTGCAGGAGCCAGTACATGTGTGTATGAAAGTGTGTGAGGTGGAAGAGTGTCTGTGTGTACACTCTTTGTACATCACAGGCTGGAAGACAGGAGCCCTCTACTCATTTTTTATTTTGTTCCATCTCTCCCTTCTGCTCCTGCTTTGCTTCTCCCACCTGGATCGAAGACCTGGCTAGAAGAGAACTGAGAGGAGGGAGGAGGGTGTGCGTGTGCGTGTGTGTGTGTGTGTGTGTGTGTGTGTTGTGTGTGTGTGTGTGTGTGTGTGTGTGTGTGTTTGAAGGGATGGGGGCGGTCAGCTTGTGAACGGGGAGGGTTGGGTGGGAGGTGATGACGAGATGAAAGGAGCCAGGTGAGGAGGAGACACAGGAGCGCCCCTCTCCTCTCTCCCCACTCTCTCTCTCTCTCTGTGACGTGGTGTGTGTATGTGTGTGTGTGTGTGTGTGTGTGTGTGTGTGTGAGTGTGTGTGTCAGTGTGTGTTAGCTGTGTGTGTGTGAGAGAGCGAAACAGGTCGGCTTTCCTTCAGTAGACTGTGAACCTGCACAGGAGAAAGCAGCCCTCTCCAGACTGAGGTATGTCATCGACTTATCACCACACACATCTCCACACACACACCTGCCCTGTTACGAGTGTGTGTTTGGGGAGATGTGTGTGTTTTTGGGGTGGAAGTTAGGATGCTGGAAAGGTGGGACAAGGGTAAAATCTGACTCAGGAGGACGATACTAGAGCCCGTGTTTTCTTTCATCATTCACACTTCAAATGATCTCTTAAAGGACAACATTTCTGGAGAGCCTTCACGTATATGTTAATTTTAACTCCTGGTTGTCTCTTGCATGTTTTTGCAGAGGAGTGAAAGTGTTTTATAATTAAGGGACAGTTGAACAACAGGCTAGTTTTCTCCTCGCAGTAAACACTGTGTCATGTGCATATTAAATGGTCATATGGTTTCCAGTCGGCAGTCGGAGAGATTCTGCCTCAACCTTATATTCTGGCTTTGTGTGACTTTGTTTGGAGCTTCAGAGTTTGACTATAAATTGTTTGACTCTCATTAATTTGATTTCATTAAATCGGAGGCTTTGTTACACGTGAGCCACTAAGTCTCTGTTTTCCCCTTTTTTATTGCTCAAATAGTTCTGTTTTGTGTAATTTGGACTTGATAAAACTGAGATCATTAAAACAGCTAACAGGCGCATTTTTCCAATTTGGATGCGTTTTAAGGGTTTTTTGTGTAATAAAAGGCTCTTTGAAGGACTAGAACATTTCACCTCAGGGAGTTATGGTGATAATGTGTTTCATTTGCAGCAAGAATTTCAATTTTGGTGGTCCTTAAAGCACCAAAGTGACCCCGGACACCAGAGAGCAATGAAACAATCTATGTTGATTAGACTAACAATCTCCAGAGGGCTGCTCCACAGTTGTTGCTACATAGCTGAGATGTTGTTTATTGGTTATTTTATTGGGCTGAAGGTGACTGTAACCCTTTGACCTATTCAGCAAAGGCCACCTACTTGAGCCTGCGTCTGTCAGGTGATTGTCGTGCTTGATGTGCGTATGTGGGCAGAAAAAGAACAGGCGCCTTGCAGGGATGAAGCTTGTCACACTTGTGAAATGGAAAACTTGCACATGCAGGTGTGCAGCATATGGAAATGTACCAAAGGCTTAATGCTCGTTCCACAGCTTTTACAGTGTGTCGGGTTGCGTCCAGGTGAGGTTATGACAGTAAACACAGCGCAGGGCCTCTTGACTACTTATACTCACTGCTGAAAGGAGCTCTGTCACTATTTACAGTAATTTTAGATCATAATTTAATGTAGCCACATAGACTTTATTAAGAATCCCTATCTGTATTTTCCTATAAATATATAAAAACAAAGGAAGCATAACACTTTTTTAAATATATTTTCATGATTGTAATAATATTTAGAGTGTTTATTGATCTTTTCCTCCCATCACTTCAGACAGCAGGGAGCTCTGTAATGCTGAGTTTTGCAGTTTATTCACTCATCCAGTTTCTTGACTCTGTTAAGGGGGACATATGGTCCACTCTGCGCTTTTAGCTTCTCCCTGGGGCGTCGGATGCCCTGAAAACACACATCTGAGGATGCAGATGTCAAATAAGTAGTAAATTATGAACCTGGCTACAAGTGAGTGCAGACTGCTTCAGGTCTGACGGCTTTGCAGCTGTAGCGCAAGCGTAACACAGCTCATAGAGGTACACATCAAATAAGGGTCACAGTAACAGAAATACTGCCATGTTTTTTTTTTTTTTTACAAAGGACTGCATTTAAAGCAAATGTCTGCATGTTGATATAAAAAAATAGATTGCAGATTCCCATTGAATTTATCTAAGTCTGCTCTGATTTGTCTTTTGATGAGTGGATAGACTGACAACAAGATGCTTATAGTGTCAGTATTTGCATTAACAGTAGATTAGATGGATGATTTTAGGGGTTTTCTCTCCATTTGCAGAATGTATATCTAGTCTGAGCTAAAGATGATTCAGAAGGTTTTTGGGAAGACAAATCTATCAAGCCATATTTCCAGACTGCAGCCAGCAACCCCCTATATTTCATCAAGGTCTTGGTCATACAATATCCTTTAAAATATATCACCTTAAATGTAGTTTTTCATCATTTAGTGAACTACATATATTATAAACCTGTCAAACTACCATAAGAAAAGGAGCATTATCAGTCAGTCAGTCAGTGTTTTATTAACTGACAAAATCTTCACTTGTGCATCCTTTTAAACAGGACTATCTCTTTTGTTTCAGATCTTTTCAACTGAAAGTCATATTGGAGAAAGAAGGACACCTTGACTAAAAGTTACAATGAACTGAGTGAAACCTCCGTTAATCGTCTGCTGAGCTCCAGGTTAAAGTCCCCCGGGGTCAGGGCCTGTACAGCACAAGCTGCCATGACAGACACCACCGCCTGAGCTTCTCAGTGACACCCTATGACAGGGGAGGATGGGTGATGGGCCCGTGAAATTCAGCGGACTCTCTCCTCCTTATCCCATCCTCTCATGGAGCGTCCTGTCACACCGAGCCCCTCTTGGAACACTTCTCTCTCCGGCCTCCCCACATTTCCAGCCGCACTGCACCCGAATATCTCTAACGTGACCCTGCCAATCGCAATCATCCGAGGTGGGGTAGATCTGAACCAGTCCTTGGCTCTGTGTGCTATGCTCATCATGGATGTGCTGGCAGTTGTGGGGAATCTGGCTGTGATGATTGTCATCACCAAAACTCCGCAGCTACGCAAGTTTGCCTTCGTGTTCCACCTCTGTCTGGTGGATCTGCTGGCAGCGCTGGTGTTGATGCCTCTGGGGATGCTTTCAGACCGAATCCTGGTGGACGAGGCGCTGTGTCGGAGCTACCTTTGCTTGAGTGTGTGTCTAGTCAGTGCTGCCATCCTCACCATATGTGCCATCAATGTGGAGCGCTACTACTACATTGTCCACCCCATGCGTCACGAGGTCAAGATGACAGTGGGGGTGGTGGTGATGGTACTCGTGGGAATCTGGATTAAAGCCATTGTCATGTCAGTGCTGCCTCTCCTGGGATGGCTGCTTCAGGGGAACCAGGGTCTGGGGACTCCTTCAGTTCTCATTCATGGTCAGAGACACTGCTCCCTCCAATGGATGGGAGGCAGGACCACAAGGCTGCTTTTCATGGTCTTCTTTACATTCATCTATTTTCTGTGCCCAATGCTGATCATTCTGGTGGTCTACTGCAACATGTTCAAGGTGGCACGAGTAGCGGCCATGCAGCATGGCCCCCTCCCGACTTGGATGGATACGCCACGACAACGGTCCGAGTCCATCAGCAGTCACTCCACCATGGCAGCTAGCCTCGGTGGAACTGGTGCCCGCAACACCCCTCAGAGGACCTTCAGTGGCGGTAAGGCCGCGGTGGTCCTGGTGGCAGTGGGAGGCCAGTTCCTCTGCTGCTGGCTGCCATATTTCTCCTTCCATCTCTACTCGGCCGTGGCGTCTACCACTCCCGCCTCCCTGGCCCAGCTGGAGGACGTGGTCACATGGATTGGCTATTTCTGCTTCACCTCCAACCCCTTCTTCTATGGCTGCCTGAACCGGCAGATTCGCGAGGAGCTGGGCCGCCACCTGGCCTGCCTCTTCAAGCGGGCTGGGCCCAGCGAAGCGGAGCAGCTGCCCAGCCGTGAGGCCTCTATTGAGGAGAACTTTTTGCAGTTCCTTCAGGGCACTGGATGCAATCTGGAGCCCTGCAATTCTCACAGCAGAGCCAGCCCAGAGGAGCCAGAGACTGAGGGCCTTCAGGAATCAGCTGTTCAGCACAACATGCCAGCTGACTTCCACATCCCAGGGCAGATCCTTGAGGAAACCTCAGAGTTCATACAGCGGCAACAGCTGAACAATGAGCTACATGTATCAGAAAACTGCTGCAAAACTGTACCAGAGCTGTAGCTGCCTCTCATGTACTATCTGCCATCTATAATCCAATAAATATACTTAGTTTTATTCATTTTTCTAAAATTTGTTGAATTAATATATCTCTTGTTCATGCTACAACAGCGCTTTTAAGCTAAAAATCCAGTGAACTGCAAACACAGTATCTTCTTTGAAGAATTTAAGTTATGTAGCTTTCATATTACCAACAACAGTCATGATGCAGCATTACATGTTCCCAGAGCTTTACAGTATCAGGCTGTTTTCTGTGTGATGTTAGCAGATGGACACTAAACCCTTGTTGTGTTAATCACGGGTCAGCGAAGTGACAAACATCATATAAACACAAAGAAGTGCTGAATCTCTTCAGGGGAAACAGTTTTCACAGTTAATGGAAAACTATAAGAGCCATTCATTTTTTAAAATGAAGACAGAAATTGTAGTGTTGATATGCGTTCTTTTAAAGATGAATTCATTCATTTGTCATTAAAAGTTGGATTCTCCATCAGATGTTAGAATATATTGTACAGTATAAAGTCAATCATAACACAACATCACGATTACATAGAAAATACTGGACTTCCATCTGCATTTTCCTCCTCTGGAATCTTTTTTTTCTCCATTTATTTTCAACATAGAGGACAAATTCATAATTTTTCAATCATTTTTTTGTTTTAAGACTTGAAGAAGCCCCTTGACAATCAGCTCAAACTGAGTCAGTGACACAACAGGTTCTCCATGACCAAACAGATGTTTAATTATGGATTTTAAAAAATGATCTTACTATAAAAAACATCATACTGGCCCTCTATTTTGGCACTAGTTCATCTCCAACAAACTTGAGGAGTAGGTAAAAGTAAAGGTTGTCGGTTACTGCCGTTGCCAGTTTGTTTAGAGAGTAAAGAAGCTTGTTGCATCAAAGTGTATTTATGCCACTTGAACATCTTCTCATACCACCAGGGAATGAATGTAAAAACAAAAAAAAAGTTGTAGTAGAAATGAGCAAATATTCAGAGCCATTAAGTAAATTATCTTTCTGTTTGAAATATTCATTGTGTTGAAAAGGATCATTTCACAGCTGGTGCTGCTGGTGGTATTTATAATCAACAGGCTGACACACCAGTATATTTTTAACCATCTTTCAGGAACATTATTATCATGTTTATCTGTTCTTAGTCTTGTGATTATCACCTCCTCACCAAAATCATCTCACATTGGTAGACTCGTGATTTCCACTCAAAGAAAAACATTGTGACTGGTTTAATTTGTATGACAGTGATGGTGTTTAGGATTTCAGCTTTGGAAAAACATCAGCGCATTAAAACTGTCAGCTTGTTGAGATAAGGCTCGATGTGGATGGATTCAGGCATCGCGACCAGTCCCCATTACCCCGAGATGTCTGTGCTGTTTACAGGTAAACACAGCAGTGAGTGCTATCGTGTTTGTGCTATAAACAACCAGGCTTGTTGTGGCTACACAGCACACAGGTGAGACAATGCTTACACATGGCAAGCTTTGCCTTTGGCCTCATTTAGCAACAAATGGCAGACACTGGTGATACTTTCTCTGATCTCAGGTGGAATACAAACAGTTTGCACAAGTCACACAGGCAGTGACAAATGTTCCAAAGAAAATTACAAGGCACAAATCTCTTACTAAACACTTTTTTCTGGTCTCTTTTTATACTTGCTCTCTTGGACTGCCTCATACCGGACTGTCGGCGTGATCACAAGACACTCAACACAAGGCGTACAGGGGAGGGTCATATTTTGCTGGGAGTCAGAACAAAAAAAGGTCCTTTTGTCAGGGGGGGAGACATAATGTTCTTAATTTCCTTGCAATATGACTTTGTTGTTGACTGTTTTTCCGATGGGTTGTCATGTCATCTTGTTTCTTTGGAGTCAAAAGATGGTGCAGTAATGTGAGGCCCAAATTTAGTTAAGACATAAAGTAAAAAACACGATATCACTGCCACGATCCTCAATGTTTTTCAATTTAGTTTTATTAGTAAGATTAGAAACTACAAAATACAATATTATAAGTATCATTAAAATCTGTAAAAACAATTATATAAAACAACCTTTATTGATTACACCAGTGTACAGGAACAAGGGTTTAATCTCTTTAGATAATCTGAGATCTTTCCTCATTGATCATTATTGATCATCTCGCCTTTAGTGCACGATGCTGTAATAAATTCAGTGATATTTCACACAGTCTACAAAGCCCCTCACGTTGAGTGAACATCAACCCACCATTCAATCAACTGGATTTCCGTTACTGTAGCAGCAGAATTGCCCCCCGACCAATCAGATTAAATGTTTTAAGCTCTATTTCTGCCACCATCTGTTGATCACAAGGACGGAGAAATAAGCTGTTCAGAAGGTGAACGGCAGATAATATTCACAACTTGATAGCCACAGTTTGGTCAATATGTTCGTTTTTCTCTCTGTATCCATTTTTTTTTTTGTACCTGAGCTGAAAAGACTGTTTGGATTTTTCTTTATTAGAGTTTCTTTTTCCCTTGTTAAGATTTCCTGTGTACTGGTTGCCCATCAGTTGAAATGATTAAAGACACAGCAAGAATATTAACTTGAGTCTCGTGGTTGTTGATGTAACTACCAGACATTTTCAGATCAATAACCGCATCTATCACATGATCAATCCTGTCAGTCATCTCTTTCTCTCCTGCCTCCTCCTCTTGTGTGTGTGTGTGTGTGTGTGTGTGTGTGTGTGTGTGTGTGTGTGGTGCAGGTGGGGGGTGCAGCGTCACAGAGGTGAAATTAAGCACTAAGAACAGGATCAAAGAGGAGTGACATTTGGAGGAAGACAGTATGCTGAGGCTCAGTCAGTTGGGGGAATGCTGTAATGTTCATTAACCGAAACTGAGAAATCTGAAAAATCTTAAATGTAGTAATGAATAAAACAGAAGCACAAGTATATTTATTTATACTTCTGTTTTAATATTTTATTATAAATTTTATAATTTATTTTAGATAATAGAAGGTGTATAACATTATATATACATATATATATATATATAGATTGTGTAAATTAATATCAGAAAGACCCCCTTATTCCTTTGAATACTCTTTCTAGGTTATAATGCACATCTGAAGGTTTTTTTGGAGGTAAAAAAAAATCACACATCAGCAGCACTCATCCTCTATTTTCTGATAACCCTAATTTACCCGCTCCTGTGCTGCTCCCCATCGGACAGACTGACTCATAGCTTTCATGTTGAGCCGTGGAGGGCGCCTCCTGCAGTGCACAGAAACAGTTCAAACAGTCTGACCTTTGTGACTGGCTGCAACACACCCAGTGAGAGTGCTCAAGGACAGATGCCACCATCGTGTCACTGTGGAGGGCGACCGGGTGCATAGCGCAGTCATTCGGCGGATGAATCGGGTGTGTTTCTTATAAACTAAACATCTAAACTGAGAGCTGTGATCACCTGAGAGGCCACAAACAGGTTCACAGCTCCCAGAGCGGCGACCAAAAACAAGAGAACATGCCTATCTGTGAGTGTGGAGGCTGTCTGCAGTGAAAAGTCTCCCTCGCTGGATCAGAAACAAACTCACTAACATAACTTCTCACTTACTTTCAAATCCTGACCTCTCTGAAATCAGCTGTTGCCTCAGTAACCTGCACTGGTGATAGCGCTGTGGGGAGCAGGAGACTGGAGCTAATCAGGAAGAAGGAGCAAAGTTAAGAGATTATTAATTTACTTGAAGACAAACTGTAAAATGGTTCCCAAAGTAAGGTCTTAAAAGTAAGAACCTTCAAGATGATTTAATTAGTCTATTAATTAATGAACCAATTACCATTACCAATAATATACCAATTAGAATTACATTTCAAGATATTACGTTTTTTATTTACTAATTCTTAATAAATCAGTTACAAGCCATTCACAAGAACAAAGATCCCTTTTGTTGCTGTTAATTCTTTCTACTTTGAGATAATCTTGTCATAAATGTTGTTAATCCATAAAAATTGCTTAAATTGTTAATAAATAGATTTTGTTCTAGAGGGGTTAAATGATCAGTGAAAAGGATGTTTGATAACTTGGCAGCCAACAATCTGTTCTTTAATTAATTACTTATAGATCTATAAAGTGCTAGTAAAACATTTATTCACTACTAATAAACCTTGTTACAACCTATAAACCCTTTATAACAGCTGATTAGGACGTTATTGGTTACGCTCAGATCTGATTGTTTTTGTTTGGCTGTTCACATTATGTTTTAAATGTGGCCTAAATCTGATTCCAGTGTGAACAGGTCCCAGTCCTGAACTGCAAAGGTACAATAATATGTAATATGACCTCACACAGCAAGGTTTCATGTGGAAGTAAACATGGAGGCCACTGAAGACAACATGTGTGGTTTTATTAATAAGTTGATGTACAGTGGAAGGCAGCAAATTCATAAGCAGACATTAATGAGGACACACTTTCAATTATGGCTTTCTGTGCAGCGATGGGTGCTACTTCTGTTTGGAGGTGTGTGTGACAGCGGCGTCAGAGCAAATAGAGGCCAGTTACAGTACGAAGGAGTGTCACCTCAAATACCCCAAAGGTCCAACACCTCCCTGTCCCTCCACCAACTACCTCCATACCAACTGTCTTACATGTGTGTATTCTCTGAGTGACCAGCACAGGATTGTGATAAACGTTGACCCACAGTTGCAGGCCTGTCATTGTTTCCAATAATCAATTTGTTTGAATGAATTTTTAAAAATAATTATCTCAAAACACACATATTATAACTGTTTGACACCACATGGGAAAGACTAAAGGTTAAAGACATTCGCTCTTACAACACCAACTATACTTACTAACTATATCTTTGCATGTAAATCTTACTTACTTCAGCCTTCAGCGAAGGTGTTTTTTATGAGCTTCTGGCAACGGGCCTGCTGACACAGAGTGCCAAATATTAACAGTCAGATGAGTCTGTACTCTTGTGGCATGCTAACGTTAGAAAGCGGGTCCACACATTTGTTGAGTTAGACAACTTTGTACAAAGTCAGGAGAAGCACATTGCCTCTCAGATGCTTTGGTGTCTGTCTGCTCAGGACAGCTCTTCTCCATGCTTTGCTCCGTATTATTATAGTAACAGCATAACATTTTTTAGTTTAGTTTACTGAAAGGTCAATAGGGCCATAGGTCAAGCTGATAGTGGAGCGCCCTCTGCTGGATCACAAGGCAAACTGCTTCAAACTGATCACACTGCATTGAGTTGCAAAAACTTAGATCTGTATCTGATCTGGACCACATAACAGAGTTGAAAAGATCAGATCAATGTGATTTGTGCTGTTCACAAACACAAAAACAGATCTGAGTCATGAGTCTGAGACAATCTGATTCAGCCCGCTGTTGCCAGCAGTGTGTATGTGGTCTATATCTGTATTATCTCCGGTTGCAAATGTCATGTAGCATTAACCAGGAAGCTGCATCAACTGCACTAATATACTGGAGTACATGAACATGATCGGTGGTGGTGTACAATGTTGAAGGAGGATTAAAACACAATGACATTAGAGCCAGTGTGGAGAGAGAAAAAGATGTTAGGAAAGGTTCTTGTAATAATAACATGATGTTAAATGATGTTAACCGTCATTTAACTCACAGAGGATTTCACACTCTAAATTCAGACACATGAAACCCTTTCATCGGCTCTTTTGTGTTCTTGATTTTGTTAATATTTCTGCCTGTTTTCGTTAAGATTATTAAAAACTAGGTTGTAATCAGGCAAACTGGAAGCAAAACAGGTTTAAAATCACGCCATAATAAACCTGTCTGTCAGACTGAACCTGCAGTTCAGCTGTAAGTCCACTGGCGGCGTTCTAATATCACACAAAACTTCTGCCAGTCTCTGCTGACTGGGAATCGATGTGAACTGTGGAGAAAACGCGCACCTGAGTCTTCAGCTGGTTTTAAACCACATAGTCCCTCAGTCCGCTAAGACTTGTGAGGAATACACCGATTTGTGTCCGACTTTGAGAGATAATTAGGCCACACAGACAGGATTCACACATCTGGTTTGGAAGAGACTACATTTCCCATCGGCCGTCTGGGGCGCATCAATTTTCCTTTTTCAGTACCGTTTTCTTGGTTTGCAGCTGGATCATCTGGATGAACGCGCCACTGCGCAGCAGCATTAGTCTTATGGGGAAGATCCGGTGATTTTATTATTGCGATTTTTCCTTTAAAAGGCTGGATTATTCATTTTTTCTGACAACTTTCTACATGAAGTAACCTATTTTGTTTTCTTCTTTTCTAATTCCCACGTTTTTCTGTGAGTTTAAACTACGGATAAGTTGGATAAAACGATTTTAAATAATCAGTTTTTGGGGGAGTTTCGCTGAAAATCCTGTATTTAATCACCTGGACAGACAAGAGTGTGTGGACTGAAGCTGATAGCTCTGCACAAGACTCTGGTTGTAGTCGGACAGACGAGCCTCCAGTGCCAACGCCTTTCCCCCTCTCTCTCTCTCTCTCCGCTTCTCCCCGGCTGGGAAACTTCAGCTCACACCGCCTCAAGGGCTGTTTGACGGCGATCCCCGTCGACTCATGACCTGCTGAAAACCCACAGCCCGACTCTAAAGAAGTTCATCACAGAGGGAAAATGGGGTGCACGATCAGCGCCGAGGACAAGGCAGCAGTGGAGAGGAGTAAAATGATTGATAAAAACCTGCGGGAGGACAGAGAGAAATCCTCCAGAGAAGTGAAACTGCTTCTGCTCGGTATGAACTGTGTTTCTGGCTTCTTTTAATGCGTGAGATCACTTTTAATCATCATCAATCTTTTGGCTACTTGTCATGTTCACTCTGTCACTAAAGTGTATCTGAGGGCCAAACACTCCTCTTCCTTCTGCTGGTTTAATGCAGCTGTGGCTCATCATTTCTGCACTGACACAACTTGTAGAAATAAACCAGATGTTGGTGGTGGTGGGGGGGGGGGGCGTCGCTGCCTTGTAACAAAACACGTTGTAACTTATGCAGGCCTGTCTAACTTCAGTTACTAACAGGGAAATGTTGACCCCCCCCCCTACTAAAACAGAGCAGCATCTGACATATCTACATCGTTATTTATGCTACATTCACACTGCAAGCCTCAGTGCTCAGTTCAGATGTGTTCCTCAGATCTGATGTGATTTGATGTGTGTGTGTTAACAGGTCACAGTCCTGCAGTAACCTGCATAAGGAAAAGGCTGACGTAAACAGTCACATGACTTCTGATATGACAGTTAACACTGAGGTCCCATTGCAGAACAATCAGACCTGATCTGATCTGGTTTGGACCATATATGGAAGTGACCAAATTAGAACTGAGAACATCTGATTCAATTTGATTTGTGCTGTTCACACTGTCATGAAAAATCTTTAATTTGGGGAACTTCTGCAGTGTGAACGCGGCCATAGTCGGATTTTTAGGGCAGTAGCTGATGATTACATTATTGTGATGATTGCTTTCTAGGTTAACATATTGAAAGAAAATAGCATTAGATCTGTTACAGTTGTCTATGACAAGTTCAAAATTGAAGTTGACAATTCAAAACTCAATACATATTCAGTTTATCAACATATAAGAAAGTAAAGCATAAAATAACAAAAATGAAGAAGCTAGAACTTGGTAACGTGTGCTTGAAAACTTACTTAAACGAGTAACTGATACGTCAAAATCATTGCCAGTGAATTTCCAAGTAAGTTTAGTGAGGGAAAATCAGCATAGATTTCTGCCATCCCTTAAACTCATTGTCACTCTTTTGCCACCCCATGATTATTTCTCTGGATCTGCCCCTGGGTTGGGGCACCAAAAAATATGAGGTTAGGTTTAGGAAAAGATTATGGTTTGGTCAAATGATCTCAGTTATCAATAAATGAACTGGTCTCAAGCAAGATTTCAGGTTATGGTGATTTTCGTTATTCTTCATCTTGCTCGGCTCTATCTGTAGTCATTTAATTGAACTAGAATATGTTTGAGTTCATTTCAGTTAATTCAGTCTTACTGGAACAAAAAAAACTGCCTGACACCGGTGACTCCCAGGTTCAGTGTCGTGGCCGCGCCTACACTAACTAACTACACCCACTATTTCACTCTCTCCTGCCTCCATTGAGCACTGGCTGTATGTAACTGCACTGCCTGCTGGTATTTCACAGACAAACTCAGTGGCACTGACACTGTGGGTGTGGACTGCACAGACGTGCCAGGAGGATTAAATGCCCCCAGACCAGCAGCACTCATCATTATTTCACTCTTTTCCCTCTTACAGGAAGTTGACTCTGAGTGTGAATGTCCCGTGTTATCTAACTCTACATCTCATTTTCTAGAAGCAAATGTGTTTGTGTATTCTCTATAGCAGTGGTCAAAGCAGTTTTAGTATGAGACCCCTGGAAATTAAGCAAATGTTTTGACCCCTCATTGCACATTACGACCATTGCATGGTCACTGGGATTTATCTTGTTTGAAGAACTTGTCGAGGCCTTGAGAAGTGAAACTATTCAGTATTTCACAAGAATGGCACATTTGAATCATGTGAATACCCCTCAGATTTGTCTTGAGAGCCCTTGTGGCGCCCCAACCTCCACGGGAACCACTGCTCTATATACAATATGTGTGATGAAACATTTCTGACACAATATCACACCTTGTCAGAACTGTGTGCTCTTTGTGCGTAAGGCGACTATCCTGTTGCACTTTTGACGCCATCATAGCAGTTCATAATAAAACTAATAATAATAATAATAATAATGATAAAAATACTGACAAATACACGTCACATGTTATTTAAGCTGGTGGTCTATTTTGTCTGAATAACCATTATCAGAATTATCACATGCTGGCACCCTTGTATACAAAAATGATTAGACACCATGTTCAATTTACTTGTTGCTAATAAATAAAAGACCAAATTGAGAGGTCACTTTCTCAGGGCGGTAACTTTATGCTGATTGACAAAAAGTCAAAATAATGCAAGACTATACTCATTATTAGACTATACTCATTGTTAGACTATACTCATTATTAGCTTTTCTGGTCAAAATCTGGTATTTATTTAAGTTGTTTTGCAGTAAAATGCACTGAATGAGCACATTCCCTGATCACAAGTCAACTTATTGCACTCCTCTTTTTCTCACCAGGAGGGACAGGGCTGAAAATATTCTTTAAGTCTGCATTAATTGACTTTTTGGCCACTTGTGGGCAGCTGTCTATGTACACATCCAGCAGATATTGAGAAACATTACCCTTTATTGGAGTCATGTTTCTAGGAAGCTGAATGCAAATCCAATATTCACTATCTTTAGCTCTGTTTTGTTCTCCAACATCTCCTTAGGGAAATATCCAGCTCAGGCTGCTCAGTGCTTCACTATCGACAGTGTACAGTTGGTTTTTAGAGCTTTTTCACTGAACACGCCAGTCAGTCAAACGCTACTTGAAGCTGGAAATGGTGCTGATGAGAGTGAACCAAAAACAGCCAAAGCAGAGCTGAAATACACTCTGTAGGAGCTGAGGGGAACTAGAGTTTGGTAGTAATTTTGTGATGATTTTAGCCATTGTTAATATAAAAAATATTGATAGGAGCAGCTTTAACTGAGCTGCTTAAATAAATAAAAAAACATTAATTTCTTAACCACATGTGAACTATAACTGCATTGAAACCACCATACAATGACACTCATACACTGTTGTAATTCAATGCTCTCGACGCCTTGGTTGAGACAATGCTTTTTTTTGGTTTGTTTTATGTTTTGCAATTAATGTCAAAAGAAATATATAAAGAAGAAAAGCATAGAGACATCGACGTTGTGTTATTTAAATGCTAAAGAGATAGTTTACTGACAAGAACCTTTCAGTATGCAGAGTTCCCCCTCTTCTTTTTTCCTGTAACGTGATCTCTTGTAATCTGATTAGATATGTCTGAAACATGTTACCAGAATAAATGAGAGTACCAAGTACCTGATTAAATGGGTGATTCAGGTGCAGCTATTAAATTGGTCATTGAAATGAAATAATCACTACATTCATGCAGCAGAACATCCTCTAGACGTTGCAACATAATGCACTGCTGAAATATGACGCACAGAAGATTGTGTCTCAACAAGCTGCGTCATATTTGTTTATCGTGAAAAATCTCCAACCCTCATGTTATTAAAAGAATCAGTCATGGTTTGCCAGGCAGACAAATTAATTAGCTGATTATGACCACTAGTGAGCAAAGATAGTATCTGCTGTTATAGAGGGAGGAGTACAAACTGTAAGGGAGGACACTGACGTAACATTTTTAGAGACGTCTTAATAACAAAAATTCCATTGAGAGATTCAGAGTCATTCTTCCAGAGTAATCCCAGTCAACTGATTGAAGTTTTAGCAGTAATCATCATAACAGGAACTACCGTATGTAATGTCAGATAATTTATTACATTTATTTATTTTATTTTTTACTGTTTGTGTTCTGGGTCACATTCCTGTTAATGGCATTATTGTCACAATGAGGTCAGCAGGTTCCTCCGGACGTTTACTGTGATTTTTCTTGTACCTTCATCTAGAAGATATGGCAAGAACAAAACCCAACCTTCCAACCCTTCCTACCATTTCATGTATACCCACAACTTTATCGTAGTGCTTTTCCTTTGTCTTACAGCCTAATTGCATTGGTTTGTTGTGTAGAAGAAAAGCTATTTTAGGTAGTTGAAGCCAGAGTGTAATGACAGAAGTTAGACCTGAAATAGACTTCACATGAAGTCACATAGATGTTGTTGTTGAATCAGTTTGGGGAAGATACCGACCAGCAGCTAACTGATCTATGAGGATTAACTTGAGGCTGATATGTGAGGTGGTGCAACATTACAATGCAGTGCTAAAATCTCTTTTTTTTATGTTCTGACCGCAGAGCTGAAGGGGATGTGATTTTTCCAGGCAGTGCCCTCCACTCCCTGTCTGTGCTGGAACAGGAGAGTTATAGGGGGAAAACAAAGAGTTCGACTGCTGTTCTTTATACAAAACCACAAAGCTCGAAGATCCTTCCAATGAAAATGGTCTCCCGTTTAACCACGAACAGTGATTCATAAAATATCTGCAATTGAGATTCTTGTTAAATGAGGCCTGGTTTGGAGTCTGACTCCTGCATGGGTTTGGACGACTCTGTGAATGCCTGTGCAAAGTTGGTTTGCGAACTGGCAGGAAACCATGCTTGACTATCAGCCAAAAATGCCTTGAATGAGAGAATTTGTGACTGACAGAACTGAGGAAAAGGATCAGCACAATTTGTCCTGTCTTGCTTGTCTGTGTGAGTGGGGCTTGAATCGCTTTTGCTGGTGACAGCTTAACCAAAGAATTCATGGATTTATTTCTGGTTAGCTGGCCATCTGAACATATCAGTGAACTGTAAGCCTCCTTGACAAAACTCATCTGCTCAGGATTCCTAACTAGCAGCGGGAACATGCCTCGCCATCTTTTAGGGAAACAATACTAAGAGAATGTATATCCTTATTTTGTTTATTATTTAAGTTTCCTTGCATTGAGACTTGTTCCTGACTGCTTTAAAAAAGAAGCTGGTATCCATATTTCAAATTCCACTGCCTGAAAACTACTTCATCCTGTGGTTGCTGATAATTACTGCAGTTATATTGAGCAAAAGCTCCACTGCCACTATAAACTCATCCCAGATGTTTATCACTGGTTGGATGAGTTTGATATGTTTCATGTGCGCACATGTTTTCATCCCTCTTTTAATTAAACTCTGGCTATGAAATATTGCTGATTCTGCTGAGTCAGTGGTTGGCATATGGGGCAAAGCTCTGACTCTCCACCACTGAAACCTGCATTTAGATCCCAGTGGCTTGGCCAGGCCTCCATCAATCTGTTAGGAGGACTAGATTTGGTACAGTGAAATATTGTTGCTGCCAATTTGTCCCTGAGGCCAACTATGTTACTGCAGTCCCAACCACAGCCATTATCAGTCTGTCAAACTGTTGATACTTCAAACAACAAACAAGGTTTTAAACCATGAGGACTAAAAAGAATAGTGCAACCTTTTGAGAGAGTTGAGAACATTGATACCAAATCTTTACTGTCAATATGAAACTGGAGCCAGAAGACAGTTTGCTTTGTTTAATTAATAGAAAAAAAGAATAGTTGTTGAAGTGAACATGCTGGGGTTTTACAGGGTGTTATTTGCTGGACTATCTTGGCCAGGCACAATGACTTCCTCGTGTCTCTGCATCATAATTGCACTTTGGATTAGCTTCAGAGGTGCTAGTTGTTGGATTTTGTTACCTTTGGACAGACTAAAAGGGCTTTTAAAAGTTGTTGCCCCCCATGTCTGGTCTTTATGCTAAGCTAAGATAAGCGGCTGCTGGCTCTAGCCTCAAATTCCACAGTGGTATTGATCTTTTATGCAACTTTTATGCAACTCCAAGAAAGTGAATAAACCTTGAAATCCGTTTCAATGGTCCATGCTGAAAAAGGGCACACAATGTGGAAGAAAACACCACCATCACATTCACATCGCTGTTGTAGCGAGTACTCATGGTCTGTGTGGCAGGCAGCTTCACAGAAGGGCTGGAGGAGAGTGCGTACCATGCCTGTGAAACTCCTTGTTGTCTGCTTGTTGTAAAAAAGAAACAAAAAAGAAACAACAAATGGCTGCCAACATCTGATCTGGTCCATTATCAAAGAATCCCATTTGATTCTGTTAAAGGGAAAGAAGACATTATGAGTCACTGACATTTGTCTCTTAGGGTTAAATATCACAAATAGAAAAAGAGCAGACTCTCTTATATTGAACAGCTGGGTTTGGGTCAGAGAAGAGTTGTTTTTTTGCTGTTTTTTTGGCTTTAAATTGCAGACAGGCTCAATGTGGTGTTTTTATGGCACCTCTGCTTTCTAACGCCCAGCACAGCATGATATCTGGGATTGTCTCTCAAATGGAAAAAGCCAGTGGCTCAGCCAGAAGCATGACAACTGTTTCCTGCTTGGTGTAAAAATACTGTAAATATTTCTCGCGTAAAATCCCTTCCCCACTCATCATTATTACAATGGCCTTTATTGTAATAGAGGCTCAGTAATGCTTTGATATCAGTTGTGCCAGTCATTAGTTCATCATTTGTCACAGATTGACACTATTATATAAGCTCCCACTTCCTAAGGTGGAGCCCTAGCTCATCACAATACTCACTTCTCCCATGATCCTCTAAAGCTCCAGACTGTGGTATACACATTTTAGGGTATGCAGATGGTATCTGATCCCTACATTTGACACTGATGTCTGTGTTTTTCTGTGGCCTGTTACAAATATCTTGGTTCTTAAGGCAGAAGTAACCGCTGACGGTTTCATCAGATAGTTCAGTACTGTAGAATGCAAAGGAATACTTTATGATTGTATATATGCTCCCTCAGGCCCCACATAAACACCATCAGAATTTATCACAAGGCTGCTGTTTCATGGGTGTTTTGACGCAAACATACAGCATGATGCGTGATTATATGAGATTAGATTCAGTCTAGCCTTTGATGTGAGAGGGGTCTGAAACTGTGAAGGTGTTTTTGTGGCTGCTGTCATTCGTGGTATGTATGCCCCTGTTTTATCTACTGTCCCTCTTTTTCAGGTGCTGGGGAATCTGGGAAAAGCACAATAGTAAAGCAGATGAAGTAAGTGACAGCTTGTAACACAGTTGTGATAACACTATTGCACATGACTTATTAAAGTCCTACGTCCAGTTGGAAACTTGACACTATTTTTGTGTTCCACTGATGAAAGACCGTCCCACTCCCTCACCGCCACTTTCAGCTTATTGTCAGAGGTTAATGGTGTGTGATTACAAACAGGGTTCATCTTTGTGGAAATACCGTGGAAGCAAAGCAGGAGCCCCATTTCACTGTGCTCAGGCAGAGGAGGAAGCCCCCTTTTTGCAGAACGTTTTAAACAATGGCCTCAGAGGCCAGTCGTAGCCTGGCAGGACCTGAATAGAGTCCCCCAGTTCCCACATTAGGCGTGCTGCATGCTCACTGAAGCTCAAATTCCAGCACTAATGACAGTATTGCATTAAGCTTTTCAAATTTGCCATTTGTTCCACATTTTCTGAATTCTGTTTGCCATTGTTCACACTGTCAACATTTATTTGGACTCTAAAAGCCTAGTTGGATTTTATTTGTGTGTTTTTTTGTCAGAATCATTCATGAAGATGGCTACTCAGAAGAGGAGTGCAAGCAGTACAAAGTGGTGGTGTACAGCAACACCATCCAGTCCATCATGGCCATCATCAGGGCAATGGGCCGGTTAAAGATAGAATTTGGGGATGCTGCACGGGCGGTAAGTTGCAATAATCATGCTATTAAAGAGGCACATCCTCATTCATGATATGAATCACCACAGTGACAGCAGTTATTGTCTTTATTGCCAGGACGATGCCCGTCAGCTGTTTGCCCTGGCGAGCTCAGCGGAGGAAGGGATATTGCCAGCAGAGCTGGCCACCGTGATTCAGAGGCTGTGGAGCGATAGTGGAGTTCAGACATGCTTCGATCGATCTCGAGAGTATCAGCTCAACGACTCTGCTGCATAGTGAGGACTCACTTCTCTACATACAGACCCACACTTAAATACCAACTACATGCCTGTTAAATGAGTCGATTTACAGATGACTACAGCCTTAAACTCTAAAAAGCAATCTGAAAAAAATGTCTTAACAAATAGTTTACTCTGGTATTCAGCTGCAAAATATAGCTCATTGGCCACTCCTTTACGTTGCCATGTTGGAGAGGTCAAGATCTGCTGGTAAATAATACAATATGTACTGAGAGATTCAGACTTCACTACAAACCACCTCGCTTAACTGGTGATACTGGTGACTGGGGATTTCAAATTGGTAGATCCTTTCAGAAGTATCCCAGAAGCTGCTTTCCACTCTGCTCTGTGGACAATACGCAGCTGGTTGCAGCTTCCGTCAAAAATATACCAGCCGCTTCAAGTAGCACAGAGCAGATCGAATCCAGTCGCTTTTTTCAACATAAAAAACCCTATGTGAACTTCTGATCATAAAAACATTTTTTGTAAACTAGTTCTTTCTTAGTTTTAAGTTTCTGCTGGTCGGACAAAACATAAAATTTCTTGTTTTGTCATTTGATGAGATTAAGCTGGGCCTTAGGAAGGACATTTTATAGACCCAACAGTTCACTAATAGTGAGTAATCTGCAAATTATTCATTAATGAAAACAATCATTAGTTACAGTTTCACCTGATTCTTTTTACTTGAAAATTTCCAATGAATCAAGTGTCATTTTACTACTCATGTATGTAATGTATTGGCACTTCCCAGTGGAAGTGAAACTGCTCTGACGATTTATAGGAAAGTTAGAAATTGCCTCATCCATCTTCAAGGTGTTACTCTTTAATAAGAGATTTCTTGTGGTCTTGTCTTCCTCATTATAATAACTTTGACTAAAAGCAGTTTTCCTCCTACATGTCTCTAATATTTCCATTGAACGAAGAAAGAGGCAAGATGTGTCTTGTTCTTCCCGTCTTGTGTCAGCTTGTTGCACAGTTGATCACATTCCTATGAAAGGAGAAACTGGAAACTGTTAGCCTAAGCTCTCCAGATATCTCTTCATTTGACCAAAAGGTTTCAGTTTATTGTGATTGTCTACTGCTCATTACGACTGTCTGATGAAGAAAAATACAAACACAGCAGTTTGAGCTAAATGTAGTTCAGTCTTGTAGTAACAATCAGACATGGATAAAGCTCAAGGTTTTGTGTTTCTGCAGTGTTTATATCTCACTCGCTCTGAAAGAAAGTGACTCAGTGTGAAGGACACCTTCTTTGTTTTGAAAACAGCCGAGCTGTCGTGGCTCTCGGTGCTCTTTATCCTCAGTACAAGACAAGAGGAACCAGTGGAGTTAGTCTGTTTTTACTCAGCCCACAAGGAGCCTGTGTTTATAATGCACCAAAATATGAGCCCATATTTAGTATCATACTGTGGAGTACCCGGATGTCTGTCTGCGGAGCAAACCCTCCACTTCACCAGACATAAGTGTCCGAAATACCTTTAGTTGTTTTGCATTATTGCCTTTTTTTTGTTTTTTTAAGTATCTGTCAGGAAGGCTCCATTTTTACCATAGGGTGTTAAAAGGAAGAAAAACAGCAATTTTTGGTGACATCTCTTTTATGAAAGACATATTAGGAGCGGCCCATATTGTAAATTTAAATTATACTATGATGTGTTTGTCGGCTCTGTGATCATCTTCATATGTTTTCTGTCTCTCAGCTACCTAAATGACTTGGACAGGATCTGTCAGCCGAACTACGTCCCAACTCAGCAGGATGTGCTGCGTACACGTGTGAAGACCACCGGCATCGTGGAAACTCACTTCACCTTCAAAGATCTCTACTTCAAGTTAGTATAGCTGCAATTTATCTGCTCATGAAGTGCAATAAAAATAACTTATTAAGCTGTACAAACAGCCATGGCCTGAGCCAGTTTATTGCGTTGATGAGCATTTGGATGTCCTCGTTATGAGACGTAACACAGTGTTCTGAATGATGTTTCTTTTAGTGGACTTTTCTCCAGTCTTTGGTGTTTGTTATTTTTTGAGAAATACTGGATAGTTTTACTTCTTCGTGTGCAAATTGTGACGATTGGTTACAAGCGCTCTCTATATGAATATATGTATGAGTTATATTAAGGGGTCAGTGAGAGTCAGTGACATAACACAAGCATTTTACTGTATAAACGGTAAAATGCTTGGTTGTTGAGGTTGTTTTACTCAGATTTGTAACATTTTGTCATTATCTAAGAGGTACTTCATTACTTTGAAGCAATTAAATGTTGATTGGCTTTATTTCTACTGTATCCTACATATATATAGTTGGTTTAGTCTGATTTTGTCTTTATCACATGTTGTCATAATGGTCCCATCATCATATAATTCTGCAGTATTTTTGGATTGATGTACCTGCATTTGGCTTGTTTGGAGCTCTGTTTGTTGCCCCATGTTGCTTTGCTGTTATAAGTGCTGCTGACAGGCATTCAGCCTAATACGACCCAGCTTTGCTGCAGTAAATGTAATTACATTGCTTCACTCCTTTTACATTATTTTGTCTAGCTCTTGTACTTAGAAATATTGGTGAAACAATAACTATAATAGCCTCCCTGGCCTGCCTTAACCCTGTAAAAAAAAACGCTTGGGATCTGGAAATGTGCAATCACTGAATTAGTGTTGAAGCACACAACGTTCTTTCATTTAATTTCTGTGTCAGTTAAACATCTCAGTATAGATTCAGTTTGACTCTGAAGGCCTCAGGTGGAGACAGAGGCAACACACACACACACACACACACACACACACACACCAGCCCTGGATTTACAAGCACAGTAAAATTTAGATGACATTAAAATTAGTACATTCACTGTCTGTCTGTTTACATTTGTTTATGCAGTTACTGTCTGTGTGTCTGCAGGATGTTTGATGTTGGGGGTCAGCGGTCAGAGAGGAAGAAGTGGATCCATTGTTTTGAGGGAGTCACAAGTATCATTTTCTGTGTAGCGCTCAGCGACTACGACCTTGTCTTGGCGGAGGATGAAGAGATGGTAATTGATTGATACACTGTGGTTTAGGTTCACTGTATGTCACAAAAAATACCAACCATGGGTCCACGTGTTCTCTTTCCTCAGAACCGGATGCACGAGAGCATGAAGCTTTTCGACTCCATCTGCAACAACAAGTGGTTCACGCTCACCTCCATCATCCTCTTCCTCAACAAGAAGGATTTGTTTGAAGAGAAGATCAGCAGGAGTCCGCTCACTATCTGCTACCCCGTATACTCTGGTGAGACGAACTGGGACATTTATTGAGTTTTAATGTGATATTGTCAGATTGTGTGTAGTTGTTCATCTTCCGTTCATGTTCTTCTGAGCACTGACTGCCTGGAAATGTGTGATCATGCTCTTGATTTATTTTACTTAAACCCTTGAGGATACTGTACCGTTTAGTCACTTTTGAGGTTGTGTTGTATGTTAAATAAGCTTTGAGTATAATATGTGTCTTTATAATATGCGTGCTTGAACTAGTGACACTTTTACCAATCAGACAAAGGCTCTGTGTTTTACTGTCGAGCTGCTTTATCACATGTGAACTGAAGCCTGAATACATTCTCTGTACAGCCAACTAACATATCTGCATTTTAACTTTAACTCTCAATAATATACTGTTGCCCATATTTTTGCTTGTCAATTTTATAAACTCAGGATGTCCATGATGTATTTTGACAGTTTAATCTATTTATAGATCTGCAACACAAGGGTTTGTGTCACAATTCTCCTTTAAGATACACCTGGTCACATATTAATAGTATCTGTTGCTTTAGTGCGTTTAATCCACATTGTTAGAAATAAGATGAATTAAGCTGTTTTCCAGAGATCTTCCAGGATTAATCCATGTAACATTTATAACTGACCTTTTTTTCCCCCTGCAGGTGGGAATTCATACGAAGAGGCGGCCGCTTATATCCAGTGCCAGTTTGAAGATTTAAATAAGCGAAAGGACACCAAGGAGATCTACACCCACTTCACTTGTGCCACAGACACCAAGAATGTGCAGTTTGTGTTCGATGCCGTCACCGACGTCATCATCAAGATCAACCTGAGGGAGATCGGGCTCTACTAAATTTTCAGGCCGTTCAGGTCAGCACATTCACATGGACCACTGTTCACAGTTCATTGTCTCCAGAAGATGAGTCATACTTCTTCTGTCAACCCTCCTGATTTTACTGGGAGAGTTTTTTATTGCCCTCTTCCAGTTTCCTCCTGTGGTCACAATTCTCCTGTATTTCTCCTAAATTATGACAAATTTTCAGACCTGTTTCTTTGGTTTGGAGATGGTTAACCCACATGCGGCTGGGGCAAGGACGGGAGGTCTTTAAATTCGCTGCCACCAGTGTTCCCTGTAGAGGATCATGCTATCCATGCTGAGTGCATTTTAGCATGCTAACTCTGGCCCAAAGTACAGTTTATGTTTTGTCAGGTGTAAAGAGCTAAAAAAAAAAAGCATGTCTATAAAATGTATTTTATTACAGTGTTAAGATTCTAAACTTTGAAGACTTTAACACAAGCTATATTCACAGAGCCTTCACTCTCTGATAAACTGCCTCGTCCTGCATTAGTAAAGTTAAAACAACCAAAGAGCCGATAGAAAAATTGTCAAGTGTGAGGGAGGAGAAAACACTGAATTTGTCAAAAAAAAGAAGCTTATTAAGTCTGTATGATTGTTTAAAGTTTCAAAAATACACAATACAGACAGAAAACTGTATAAAAGAAAAAAAAATGCTTTGTTTTACACAAACATCCTGCAGTTACAGTGGTCACTGTTTGGGTTCATTGTTTAGTGTTGCTGTTATTGTTGAACACATTGAATATGATATGAAGTGTCCATACAATATGTCACTTAGTCAGGGGTTGTCAGTCTACTCAATAATAGAAAAGGGGTCCTTTAAGGTTGGGAACCACTGTTTTAGAGGCATTGTATTCATAGTGATGGTCTTAATGATATCATCTCCTTGCAGGTGTCTGGAGGAAAATCAGGACTTTCTGGGCTGGTATGTCTTGTCTGCAGATTGGAAAGTATGTGTTACTAAGGACTGAGCTGGTGGCCATGCTGCATGCAGGACTTAAATTCCACAATTCGGGGACTTGATACTATGATCACTTTTGTCTTAACAGATTTAACGATGCAGAGCATACTGGGAGGAACTGATAAGTGGGAGGGGGGCTTCTGAAATGATCACTGTGAGTTCTGTGGAGTCCTGTCATATTCAAGACCTTTACATCAGTCAGGGGCTGGCAGGTAAAGCCCCTCTGATGTCTCTGACGCATTTATAGTTTGCCATATGTACAAGGACCAAAACAAAGCAAATCTATTACTGCATTTCACAGTTTCACAGCTGACATGTAAATTCTGTTCACTTTCTTTGTGTTGAATCTTCTCTTAGCTTAAGTATGTATCACATTGCTTTTATTAAATGTTTGAATTTTGGTATATTTTATTTTAATTTTGAGTTGCAGTTATATAGTATTTCCACTTTTGGATGTGTGAATGCGATAACTTATGTGGAGAAGCATTTTGCGTGAGCAGTTTTAATGTATATAAGTTAACCTTTTGGGTCTGGGATTAGTTAGAAAGAGTTTAATGAGCTCAGTAGCAACACAGCTGTCTATATAAAAATTTTAACAATTAACTAGACAACAATGTATTGAACAATATTTTTATACATGAGACATCACTGCAAATCAGTTTGTAAGGGAGCTCTTGGGTTCCCTGTGTTTTCCATAGGAGTTTAAATATGACTTATATTATTTACTCAGTGGAGGCCAATATAGAATATCCTGTTTATCAAGGTAATTGTTTTAATCCTATGGATATCAGTGAAGATATTTAAACACATTGAACATAAAAAGTGGAATAGTTTAGTCAAAGGCTGTGCTTGTGTTTTTTGGGCGAAGCTGTCACATAATACCGAGGAAGTCTGTTGCTGTTATACAGTACACTATAGTGGAGCACAGTTTGGGTTAGATCAGCCATTTCCTGGTAGAAAGCATTAACAGTTTTCATGTGTAGATCTCTTTACATTTCTGCAGTTGTATTGATTCATTTTAATATCAATAAATGATGGCACAAAGTTGTCTCCCCTTTCTTCTATTTTAAAGACTAAATATAATCTTATCACATGCAACACCAATAAAATATTATCCACTGTGGTCGGATTTGAACCATGTAAGGAAGGAGGTTATAGAGGACTCCAGGTTGGTTAGAGTTGACGTAAAGACAGGTGTGTGTTCTGATTAAAGAACAGGACTTTCCCAGTTATGTGGATTTATTTAGACTGTGGTCCATATAACAAATGATATGAACAAAGGTAAACATCAGTATATGAGTATAATAAAAAAAACTGTACAAGTAGCCTACACTCATAAAAACAAACAGGACTGTATCAACAACCAATTTACTGCAAGCATACCGCCTACCACGAGCCTTATAAGCAAGATAAATTACTGGCAGAGATATATGTGAAGAGTTACCAAATAATCATACTAACATTTGGTTTGCATTTATAAATATAAGCCCACTCACTTTTGAGCATTTACACACTGCAATTAACAGAGGTGATGTAGGTGAAAGGCAAAAAACACCACTTAAAAGGTCCAGAGAGGATCTATTGGGAGAAATTGAATGTAATTTCATAGGTATGTTTTCATTAGTGTATAATCGCCTGAAAATAATAATAATAACTTAGGGGAATGAGAGCAGGTTGCGAAGTGCTTATGGGTACTATTGTGGTCACACAAAATTCAAAAGTATATTTCTACTGTCCGTGTTTGGTTTGTTTCTTCTGGGCTCCTGTAGAAACATGGCGGTTCAACATGTCGGACTCCATGGAAGGGGACCCGCGGTGTACATAGATGAACTATTCTAAGGTAACGAAAACACAACCATTTCTATATTCAGGTGATCATGAAACACTGGACCTTTAAACTGTAATCAGTCTTAATGAGAGCCTGAATGGACAGTCCAACAACGTCTTAGACTTGATGTTGAGACTACATTTCCCATCATCCCTGTGGGGCGCATCAATGGTCAAGTGGTTTGCAGCTGGATGAACGGGCGAATGCACGGTAGCCTCTTATGGAGACAATCCGGTGTTTTTTTATTGACTTTTTTCTTAGCCTGATTTTTCTGTGAGTAGTTTTGTTGTTTTTCTTCCTAATTTGTAAGTTCTTCTGTGTGAGTAAACTACAGATTTAAGTTGGATAAAATTAAAATAAAAAAAAAAAAAGGTATACATCTATTTGGGGAGTTTTTTCCAAATAAAATCCCGAATTGAATCACCTGGACAGACCTGGTTTATAGTTGGACAGACTCCAGTTTCAGCGCCTCTTCCCCGGCTCTGTATCCACGGGGCAGTGTGCCACTGCGGTCAAGCCAGCCGTAACTTCGATCTCTGTGGTCAAATCAGCCGCACGTAAATTTCGACTGTGCGAGTATTCTCAGCATTACGGTAAAGGCGGAGAAACAGCGTATTCACTTCCGGTTTTCAAAATAAAGGTATTATGAACATTAAGCTATAATTCGAACCTACATTTAAAATAAAATATGTTGCATTAAAGTTTTTCATGCGCCCATGATGAATAAAAAACACCTAATATCGAGTATCTTGGTGGTCTTGGAGGTACAAATATGGACTTTTATTCTTCAAATTCTCCAAATTGCTGCAGTTAAAATGCTTGATAATAAGCATGCTTTAAGTCTTAGATGTGCAGAAGTCAAATATACCATCCATAGCCAGGAATTATTGAGCAATATGTTTTTACAGTAGCTCAAATATGGTCAAATATGCCACTTGGAGGTTCAATTATGGACTTCTAATCTTGCATTTCTCCAAATTGCTGCAGTAAAAATGCTTGATATTAAGTATACTTGTAGTCTTAGATGTGCAGAAGTCAAATATACCATCCTTAGCCAGGAAATATTGAGCAATATTATTTTACAGTAACTTAAATATAAGAAAATATGCCACTTGGAGGTACAAATATGGACTTTTGTTCTTAAATTTCTCCAAATTGCTGCAGTAAAAATACTTGATATTAAGTATACTCTTAGTCTTAGATGTGTAGAAGTCAAATATATCATCCATAGTTAGGAATTATGGAGTAATATGTTTTTACAGTACCTCAAATATGGTCAAATATGCAATCTCTGGAGGCATACATATGGGACTTTTATTTTGATATTTCTCCACACTGGCGCAGTAAAGATACTCTATATTAGGTGTTTTTTATTCATCATGGGCGCATGAAATACTTTAATGCAACATATTTTATTTTAAATGTAGGCTCGAATTATAGTTTAATGTTCATAATACCTTTATTTTGAAATTTACGTGCGGCTGATTTGACCACGGAGATCGAAGTTACGGCTGGCTTGACCGCAATTGTGTGCTGGCGGTGAAAACCCACAGTCCGACTCTAAAGAAGTTCATCACAGAGGGAAAATGGGGTGTACGATCAGCGCCGAGGACAGGGCAGCAGTGGAGAGGAGTAAAATGATTGATAAAATCCTGCGGGAGGACAGAGAGAAGACAGTGAAACTGCTTCTGTTCGGTATGAACTGTGACTCTTTAATGCATGAAATCAGTTTTAATCATTATCGGTCTTTAGATTCTTTTTATTTTCACTTTTTCACTGCAGTCTTTAGTGTATCTGACTCCAAACACTTCTCTTCTTCCTCCTGTTGCTCCTCATGTCCGCACTGACACTCGTGAAGTAAACCAGATACTGAGGGGGCTGTTATGGCTGTCCACGCCCCTTCCTGCCTGAGACATGAGACACGGCCTCCTAGTTACTCTTCAGAGAGACAACCGACTTCTTTAGGGTTAGTCATTATTGTCCTGTCTGTTAATGTGAGTTCTGCAGTATGTAGTATGAAGGACAAAAAATTACATAAGCATAAACAAATAAGTGTAAAAAGTACAGGAATTACCATTTTCATTACCAACATGTATTGACATGTTGTAACTCATGCAGGCCATTTTAACTTTAATGCCCAAAACACAACAAAACTTTACATCTGAAGGGAAATGTTGACCTGTCGTGGGTCAGCCATTTGAAGGAGCCCTATAGTGAGCACGAAAAAGCTAGAAGAAAATGTTTTTATCTACTGGAGCCAGTATAATAATTATTGTTGTGCACATGTTTCCTGAGACTGGAATGTCTAGTCAATGTGTTTGTATTATAATACCTCCCATATTGATAAGAGTAGCACACATATTTCCAACCCCTTCTTATTGATGAGTTTGCATAGATTACAGATTAGTACATCTTTGACCAGTAACAGATTCCTTCAAGCTTCCTTCTAATAACTCTTCTTCTGACTTCACTCTGACTTACATTGTTCAGGTTGTTATTATTCAGGTCTATGAAGATGATGATGGTCTAAGAAGTGGGACTAAGAAGTCCAGAGAGGATGGATGAAAAGTTGGAGTTGTTTCAAACTAAAACTAAACAAATTTAATATAGAATAAGTTTGCCATTAGATGAAGGTCCTGGCTGTAACAGTTAATTTCAGAAAGTCTCACTGGAACAAACCTTCAGGTTCATGATGTTGGTGACTTCCTGGTTCAGTGTCATGACGGCTCCCACTCTAAGGATACAGACCCTTAGAGTGGGAGCTTTCTCGTGCCTGTAGTGAGAACTGCCTGTCTGCTTACTGACACACACTCAATATGAGTGTAGACTACACTGAATGTGTGAGCAGCACTAAACATTTATATGCTGTTGTCTGCAGAGAGCCAGACATGAAGCACAAGGCAACTTAATCTGGCAAAGAACAAAGTGTAAAATATGGTAGTGAAGGCTTTACTTTTACAGTGATCTTTTTGTAGCTTCACCCAGAAGATATGGCAATAACAAAACCAGGCTGTAAATCTAGTTTCAGAGCCAAGTGTACCAGAAACTGTGAGATAATTTCATTTAAACTGTGTCCAATGTTTTGTTAATAGATTACAGCCAGATTAGATCAGTTTATTTTTGTTACAGAGGAAATATTTTAGGTAGCTGAGCCCTGAGCGTAATGACAGTAAAACCTAAAGTAAGTTTCACATCAGCGATTCCTAAAAACAGTGATTCATAAACAATCTGTTTGAGATTCTTGTTTAATGAGCCTTGGTTTGGAGTCCTGCATGGGTTTGGATGATTATGTGAATGCCTGTGTAAAGTTGGTTTGTGACCTGGCAGGAAGCCACTCTTGATTATCAGCCAGAAAGTTAGCCTGGGAACCAGCAGATCTGCGAACTCATGCTCAGACAGTGTTTCATCAGTTCTGTATAGGGTTGGGCCAATCACAGCCGTTTATCTAATATGGCGCTGGTTCTGTACAAACGGCAACTTCTGTGGCTGGCAAATGAAGTCAACATTGTGCCAAAAACTGCAGTTCTTCACACGGCCACTCCTCCATAAGGCCCCATATTCAAATGCTAAAATTTACAGCAGAAAAAAATGTTTACAACCTGGTTCAAACAACGGTTTTGGTCTCTATAGTTCATTTCCAGCTAATTTTCTCATTCATGGTAACTCTACAGAGGGCAAATTTTTTCTATAACTCACCCCTATTGAAAGAGGGAGAGCGGGGGGACCCAGGTCTGAATTAAACCCATGCTGCCCAGGCAGAGACCTGGCTCCAGTACATGGCGGGCCGCTCCACAGGCACTCCTGCAGCACCTCCCACATGTCAGCTCCCAAACACTTCCAGAAGTGGAAGTCTGTGAAAAAGTCTGCTAACAATCTATCCCGTCCAGGAGCTCTATCAGGAGCCATCAGACCCTCAGCAGCAGTCAACTCCTCCAGGGAGATATTGGCATCTGGGACAGCTCTGTCCCCAGAGCTGAGCTGAAGGAAGCCCTGCAGGAAAGCAAAGCTCCTTTAACTCTTTCATGTAAAATAAACCGAATTTCTGTTTTTTTTGATTGGATAGACAGTTTCCCAAAGTTTTCTTTTGTCACTGTGGAATATCATTGACAGAAAACTAGTGACTCAAAAGTCTGTCTTCCTTAAAACATCTCAGATTTCGGACAGAAATTTCTGTCCTGAAGCAGCTGCCACTGAAATTCATCAAAAAGCAGATTAAATGATATTAAGTTTAGCTGTTTTGGAAAGCTGGTTTGATCTGTCGTCCATGTCGGAGCTGTGAGATACTATGTGGAGGTGTTTATATGGCTGCATCATGCATGCAACTACTGTCCCTCTTTTTCAGGTGCTGAGGAATCTGGGAAAAGCACAATAGTAAAGCAGATAAAGTAAGTGACAGCTTGTAACACAGTCCTGCAACAGCATATACCATATTAAACTTGACACTGTTTTTGTGTTCCACTGATGAAAGACCGTCCCACTCCCTCACCGCCACTTTCAGCTTATTGTCAGAGGTTAATGGTGTGTGATTACAAACAGGGTTCATCTTTGTGGAAATACAGTGGAAGCAAAGCAGGAGCCCCATTTCACTGCGCTCAGGCAGAGGAGGAACCCCCCTTTTTGCAGAACGTTTTAAACAATGGCCTCAGAGGCCAGTCGTAGCCTGGCAGGACCTGAATAGAGTCCCCCAGTTCCCACATTAGGCGTGCTGCATGCTCACTGAAGCTCAAATTCCAGCACTAATGACAGTATTGCATTAAGTTTTTCAAATTTGCAATTTGTTCCACATTTGCTGAATTCTGTTTGCCATTGTTCACACTGTCAAACATTTATTTGGACTCTAAAAGCCTATTTAGATTTTATTTGTGTGTTTTTGTGTCAGAATCATTCATGAAGATGGCTACTCAGAAGAGGAGTGCAAGCAGTACAAAGTGGTGGTGTACAGCAACACCATCCAGTCCATCATGGCCATCATCAGGGCAATGGGCCGGTTAAAGATAGAATTTGGGGATGCTGCACGGGCGGTAAGTTGCAATAATCATGCTATTAAAGAGGCACATCCTCATTCATGATATGAATCACCACAGTGACAGCAGTTATTGTCTTTATTGCCAGGACGATGCCCGTCAGCTGTTTGCCCTGGCGAGCTCAGCGGAGGAAGGGATATTGCCAGCAGAGCTGGCCACCGTGATTCAGAGGCTGTGGAGCGATAGTGGAGTTCAGACATGCTTCGATCGATCTCAAGAGTATCAGCTCAACGACTCTGCTGCATAGTGAGGACTCACTTCTCTACATACAGACCCCCACAGACTTAAGTACCAACTAAAAGCTTGTTAAATGAGTTGATTTACAGATGACTACAGCCTTAAACTCTAAAAAGCAATCTGCAAAAAATTAAGAAAAAATCTTAATCTTGTGTTTGTCTTTCCTTCATTTTGTCTTAAAAGAAATTCCATTCAATCCGTCAGTGGTGTAAGATCATTTCACTTAATGCTGGAGTTGAACTGTGAAATGGTTTGGTCCATTTTCAAGCACAGATGAAAATATTCCAGTTGCAGCTTTTCTATTATGAGCACTAGCTCTTTACTTTATCTTGAGAGATAACCTGAATATCTTGAGGTTTTTGACTGCTGGTCGGACAAACCATAAAATTTCTTGTTTTGTCATTTGATGAGATTAAGCTGGGCCTTAGGAAGGACATTTTATAGACCCAACAATTCACTAATAGTGTGTAATCTGCAAATTATTCATTAATGAAAACAATCATTAGTTACAGTTCCACCTGATTCTTTTTACTTGAAAAAATGTCATTTTAATACTCATGTATGTAATGTATTGGCACTTCCCAGTGGAAGTGAAACTGCTCTGACGATTTATAGGAAAGTTAGAAATTGCCTCATCCATCTTCAAGGTGTTACTCTTTAATAAGATATTTCTTGTAGTCTTGTCTTCCTCATTATAATAACTTTGACTAAGAGCAGTTTTCCTCCTACATGTCTCTAATATTTCCATTGAACGAAGAAAGAGGCAAGATGTGTCTTGTTCTTCCTGTCTTGTGTCAGCTTGTTGCACAGTTGATCACATTCCTGTGAAAGGAGAAACTGGAAACTGTTAGCCTAAGCTCTCCAGATATCTCTTCATTTGACCAAAAGGTTTCAGTTTATTGTGATTGTCTACTGCTCATTACGACTGTCTGATGAAGAAAAATACAAACAGCAGTTTGAGCTAAATTTAGTTCAGTCTTGTAGTAACAATCAGACATGGATAAAGCTCAAGGTTTTGTGTTTCTGCAGTGTTTATATCTCACTCGCTCTGAAAGAAAGTGACTCAGTGTGAAGGACACCTTCTTTGTTTTGAAAACAGCCGAGCTGTCGTGGCTCTCGGTGCTCTTTATCCTCAGTACAAGACAAGAGGAACCAGTGGAGTTAGTCTGTTTTTACTCAGCCCACAAGGAGCCTGTGTTTATAATGCACCAAAATATGAGCCCATATTTAGTATCATACTGTGGAGTACCCGGATGTCTGTCTGCGGAGCAAACCCTCCACTTCACCAGACATAAATACATTTAGTTGCTTTGCATTATTGTCTTTAAGTTTATATCAGGAAAGCAAAATTTTTACCATAGGGTGTTAAAAGGAAGAAAATTCTTTTTGGGGACATCTCTTTTATGAAAGACATATTAGGAGCGGCCCATATTGTACATTTAAATTATACTATGATGTGTTCTTCGGCTCTGTGATCATCTTCATATGTTTTCTGTCTCTCAGCTACCTTAATGACTTGGACAGGATCTGTCAGCTGAACTACGTCCCGACTCAGCAGGATGTGCTGCGTACACATGTGAAGACCACTGGCATCGTGGAAACTCACTTCACCTTCAAAGATCTCTATTTCAAGTTAGTATAGCTGCAATTTATCTGCTCATGAAGGCCTAAGGTGGGCTGTTTGTGCCTTTTGTGCTTTACAAACAGCCATTGCCTGAGTTTATTGTGTTGGTGAGCATTTGGATGTCCTCATTATGAAACTTAATACAGTGTTTTCCAACCTGAACTCTTTTAACAGCTGCAAGATTATTACGAGGGCAGGAAAAGATTACTTACTAGTCCAACAGCAAGAAGGCCAGCTCTTCTCTGACAGCCTCTTGCTTAGTCATTCTCTCCTTTTTCTCTCCTCTCCTCTTCGTGTCCAGACACACAGCATCTAAATGCACCAGAGAACTGAACAAGCTGGTTTCGATCTCCCGCTTTCAACATGGCAGCTGGCCAACAATCTTCTACTTATTAACTAAATCTTGATTGCAAAGACATGTACAGAGGCAGGTCATATCAAGCTGCATGTACAACTTTGTTCAGACTGTTTCCTACATCCATATCCATGTTGGTTTATTCTCCAGTTTGTGAGCACATTTTGTCTTTGTTCATCATAGGTTCTATTATTTGACTGGTGTGTTTGTATTTGGCTTAATCGGAGCTCTGTAAGTTGCCTCATGTTGCTATGAAAAGTGTTGATTTTTCTTTCTACTTGAGTTTACTGGCAGATAAGATTTTGGGCCCCATAAAAAAAATATCACATTAGGGCTTACTGCCACAGCCCCCCTCCAACCCTGCTGTAACCACACCTCCATAACAAAATCAACCCATTCAGAGCTTTAAATAATGTGTGTATAATGTGTCTGCAGGATTTTTGATGTCGGGAGTTACCGGAGGCGGAAATTGTATTGGGTCTTTTCTTTAGAGGGACTCACAAGTATAATTTTCTGTGTAGCACTCAGTGACTACGACATCTTGGCTGAGGATGAAGAGACGGTAAGTAATGGATAAACTATGGTTTAGGTTCACTATTTATATCTTAACATATATTTCATATACTCGATTTTATGTTTTCTATTGACAAAATTGAGATAGGCCTGATAGATAGTTGGAAGAGGACTGTTATACTAACAATGTTAACGATGGCTCAGTTCTGTTCAATTGTCCCAGTGAGCCACAACAGTGTGACAAAGAACCAGCTTTTATAGCTTGTAAGGACTGGCAATGACACAACAGCACCTTCCCTTTTGAATTTAGCCACCCAGATGTTGTGTAAAATATGTTTTTATTACCAGCTGCGACAGTGCTGGCTGTGTGTCATCATGGTAAGATGTGGTCCTGGAGACACAGATACTGTAGTGGGAACTACCACAGAACCATTTCTAAGTACTTTGTCAAGTGTACATGTTTGTCTGTGGACAGATTTTGTCAAAGCCATGTCATCACAACCTTCCAGTTATGAAGCTGTACAGGTGTGTAGTTGAGAGTAAAATGAAGACCAGGAGGGTGTGGTCCGACCCATGGGTATCCCTACTGAGTACTGGGCCAACATGGTGCTATAATAATGACTACTGAGTGTTGGGGTCATCGGTCAGAACATCAACATGTTGACAGGCGTCACAGCTGGTGTAATCCCATTTTAAAAGGTTTCTAGTTAGTCTGTATCATTTACGATGGTATTGTGGTATTTTACTTACCTGCCACAAAGAGCCTTGAATCCTGAAATCAAATCATTCATTTCATTAATTATACTTGCTCCTGCTATTTCATGTTAAACTGTCTTCTGTTAAAAAATACCAACCATGGGTCCACGTCTGCTCTTTCCTCAGAACCGGATGCACGAGAGCATGAGGCTTTTCGACTCCATCTGCAACAACAAGTGGTTCATGCTCACCTCCATCATCCTCTTCCTCAACAAGAAGGATTTGTTTGAAGAGAAGATCAGCAGGAGTCCGCTCACTATCTGCTACCCCGTATACTCTGGTGAGACGAACCTGAACATTTATTGAGTTTTAATGTACAGATTGTGTAGTCGAGGGTTTTCCTTTATCTTCTGTATCTGAGCACTCACTTCCTGGAAATGTGTGATCATGCTCTTGATTGACCTAAACCCTTAAGGATACTGTACAGTTTAGTTTCTGTTTATGTTAAATAAGCTTTGAGTATAATATGTGTCTTTATAATGTGTGTGCTTGAACTAGTGACACTTTTACCAATCAGACAAAGGCTCTGTGTTTTACTGTCGAGCTGCTTTATCACATGTGAACTGAAGCCTGAATACATTCTCTGTACAGTCAACTAACATACCTGCATTTTAACTTTAACTCTGAATTGACAGTTTTATTAACTCAGTTCATTCTAATGTCTGTGATGTATTTTGTCATATATACAGTTAAATGTATTTCTAGATCTGTCACAGTTAAATTGTTAAAGGGTTTAAACACAAATTTAACAAACGCTTGCTTACAAAATGACTTTGGAAAATCATCAATAATTAGGAGTGCTCCTGTTTATATTTCAAGTGCCTTGCCGACCATTTTACCCTCACTTTGTAATCCAAAACAAGCTCAAAGCACCATGTGTCCCATAGTAGAAGGAAGAAAACCTGCAAAACTGTCAAATATTCTAAAGTGAGCCACCAATAAGTGTTTAATCTTCTTCTGTTGTCAGTTTTTAGCAGCAGGAATTTTATTTCTTGGTCAGAGATTAATAGTATCTTTGTGTTGCTTTAGTGTGTTTAACCCACATTGTTAACAATAAGATGGGCTGAGCTGTTCATTCAGGATTAATCCATGACACATCTTTCTGTAACATTTTACTGTAGGTGGGAACTCGTACGAAGAGGCTGCAGCTTATATCCAGTCCCAGTTCGAAGACTTAAATACACAAAAGGATAGTAAGGAGATCTACACCCACTTCACTTGTGCCACAGACACCAAGAATGTGCAGTTTGTGTTCGATGCCGTCACCGACATCATCATCAAGATCAACCTGAGGAAGACCAAGCTCTGCTAAAGTTTCAGGCCCTGCAGGTTAGCATATTCATCTGCACTATGGTTCATACACTGAAGACAACATGGTGTTGTTGTCAAACCAACACATAAAGATCTTCTGAGAATTTGCTCATGTGATGACATTATTGGCCGGTTGTCCACTTTGGTCCAGAGAGTTAAATTCATTATCATTTGGATGGATTGCAATGAAATTTGGATAAGACACTCACTGCCGCCAGAGAATCAATCCTAATTGCTTTTGTGTGCTAACATACTTATGATGGACTGAGCAGGTAGTCATCTATGGAAAAAGTGCCAGCTAAAACCCCTCTGATGTCTCTGACAAGAACCAAAACAGACTGCTTATCTTGTGTGTGTATCACATTGTATTTATTCAATATTTGCATTTGTTCAATTTTATTTTTATTTCAAGTTGCAATTATATCGTATTTTTACTTGTGGATGTGAGAATAATAATAATAATAATACATTTTATTTATAAGCACTTTTCTAAATACTCAAAGACACTTTACATAAAAACATAAAAGCAGCAAAACAACATCAAATAGTAAAACATTAAAAACACATCAGACTAAGCTAAACATTAAAAGCAATGAATGAATGCGGTTTCAAGTGAATAAAGTAAAAATAAGTGTTTATTATAACATATGTGATTATTTGAGTCCTGACAGAAAGTGTCTGGCATTTAGACCCTAGAGGGAGATTGTTGTGATGGAGACGTGTCTGCCCTTTGCACCAGCATGACAAATTCCCCCATAGAGTCCAGACATTGGTGGTGGCTGATGACTGCTGAGGCTGATGAAATTACGAAGTTGATGAATCTATGAATACTGGGCAGCGATGGTGAGGTGGAGAGCAGCATGAATGTACTGAAGGCGAAAGGGATGAAGGATGAACGATGAAGTTGTGTCTCCGTGCTACAGGATATATATAAATGACCCTGTTTTTCAAGGTAATTGTTTTAGTCCTATGGATATCAGTGAAGATATATAAACACATTAAACATAAAAAGTGGAATAGTTTAGTCAAAGGCTGTGCTTGTTTTTTTTTGGCCGAAGCTGTCACATAATACTGAGGAAGTCTGTTGCTGCTGTACAGTACACTATTTTGGAGCACAGTTTGGGTTAGATCAGTCATTTCCTGGTAGAAAGCATTAACAGTTTTCATGTCTAGCTCTCTTTACATTCATGCAGCTGTACTGGTTCATTTTAGTTGTTTTAGCTGCAAAGTTGTAATTTTAAAAGACTGAACAAACCAGATCTTACCACAGGCAACACCAATCAGATATTATTCACTGTGAAGATTAGAGGCCTAGTTTCACATAAACCATGCAGAGAAAGAGGTCATGCACATTGGAAACAGTATTTTTAGACTTCAGAGACACATATGCTTCAGCTGAGGTTTCTTTGTGTTCCAGCTGCTGCTGCACACACACCACTGCTCAACAACATGTCCTTATTGTCCTACCTTGTTTTCTCTGTTGTAGGCCTGTAACACTCCATGTTTATTAGTTTATTAATGACACGAGTTATTGCAAGATACATTTAAACTGTAATCAATCTTGTCAATATGACAGCATGAAGGGACAGATTATTAAGATTTCTGGAACATTTTTGAGCCTAAAATCCTCAATATGTTCATTTTAGGCTGGCAATATTCTTTATTTTTATTTTAATCAACAAATCCCATTAAAGGTCCAGTGTGTTTTGCGGCTCTATAGGCAGATATGGAATATAATACTGATAGGTATGTTTTGATTAGTGTATAATCACCTAAATATAAGAATTGTTGTTGTTTTTACCAGGTTGAACCACCATGTGTAGTTTTTAGCAAAGGTTTCTCACACAGAAACTAAACTACAGTTCCTCATAATGAAGGAACATTATGTGTTTTTCAACAATGGAGGTTTATGGCTCAGATGAATAGTTGATGGTTTTGGTCTTTTTATGGGAATTGGGAATTCAAATTATCAACAGTCTCCTCTTCACCCATCCCCTAATTTTTTCTGTTTTCATTCTGTGTGCTTTTTCTTAATTTATAAATGTAATTTGTGCCTTCTTGTGAGGGTAATACTGAATCTTTTCACAGGTAAAATATTGACTGACAAGTGGAAATACTAACGCACGAAGTTGGGTTCTTACCAAGTGACACTTGATGTCCAGGACAGATCTAATGGGTTTTGCACTACTTTGGTCTGGAGTTTGAGCGCAATAACTAACAACAAGCAGCTTTAAATACAGGAGCAAAAGAAGCTCTGCAGCTCACTATTGATCTGGTTCCTCTTGTCAGTTCAACACACACTGTTTGTTCCTTGCTTGCTGTAAAATCTCATGAATCTGTCCCTGCACAGTAAATCTGGACTTGCAAAATAATAACAGATTTAATTTGTTTTGCTCCCTCAATAGGTTCATTTTTAATGAACTTCCATACACTGCCATTTCCCATCTGAGTAGAACAGGGAACTTATATAACAGCCGCATTGTCCCCAACAAGTAGCAGCCAGAGGCCATCGTTCAGTGTTTCTCTAACTCAATATGCATTATTCAGTGACTGACAATGTGATTCTCCAGTAAAGAAATAAACACACGAGTGAAGATAATGCATCTTTATTTCATGCTGCTACATTTCATAAGAAAGGACATACTCAGTAGATTTGCATTCCCTTTTCACAATAAATTTTGCTTCATTCCTCTAATGTTTCCCTCTGTCTCATATATTTCCATATAGATTTATCTTTCAAAATATATTGAATTATCTACTCTTATGTACAAAGTTCCTCTACCATGTTTGACCTTCTGAAATTTATTCGTCACATTAAAATGTTAAGTGAATGGAATACATTAATACTATTTAGATAAGATACATGTACAATTTGGTTTGTAATCTGGATATACTGCAAGCACTGGGAATATCTGTAACTTTTTACAGTTTAAATATCAAGACCACAGAGACTACTGTACTCAAAAACAAAAACAAGGTTGCATGTTGCTATTCAAAATATTAATATTTTCCCCCGGATTTAATCGTTTTATTTATTTTACAGAGCTTGGTTTTAATAGTAAATATTACTCACAACACAGTTGTCAGAAGGAAGCAACAAGGATCGAATGAGCAACTATTTCATCTTCATACCTTCAAACCAGCAGCTTATGGTGTGAGACAAATACTGTACTTTAGAAAACCTGAAAAATCTTGTCGAAAGCCGTCCACAACAACAGTACGTTGACGTGATAGTTGTTTCAATCCAGCTGAATGTGCACTGTGTTGCAGAGATGTACTGTTGGAGGTGGTGATGTGCTAGGAGCAGTAAGGGACCAGGACTTGGCATGGAAGCGATGGCATGAACACGACAAACTGAGCATCCTCCTCTGAGCTCCATCAGTACACTTCTCAGTAAATGCCAATATGTGAGGGGTTAAGTAGGAAAGGAAGTTCTGCAAAGTAGGAAAAAAATATTAAAAATAAATCTCAAACATTCTGAAATCAGCTTCATTCATCGTGTATAAAATCTTTTGCTGCTGTCTTTAAAGGTGAATATTTTGCTATGTTTCATAGCTTCAGGGCTTCATAATCATGGTCTGTAATCAGATAAAAATGTCAACTTGTTCTGCAGCTTGAGAGGAACTGATTGTAATCACAAATCACTACAGGGGTTGCTTTTTATCCTTGTCTTCCTCATCCTCAACAGTCCCAAACGGTCTAAATTGTCTGTGTGGTTTGAGTTTGTGTGAGCTCATGTTATGGTCAGAGGTTGTTGCTTGGCAACGCAGGACGGTCAGATATGATTCGCTGCATGAGGGTTAAATTGAATTGCCAGGGGTCTGTCTCATCTGGACCTGGTTACTGTGCATCAACAACTGGGAGCGATGTGATGTGGTCACCGCTCACCTCTTTTCACTCTGGAGCTGCTTAGAAAAGACCGCAATCTTTAAGGTTTTCTTTTATGATGATGTCTGTCACAGCGTTGAACACAATCTCGACGTTCTTTGTGTCTGTGGCACAGGTCAAGTGGGAGTAGATTTCCTTCACACCCTTCTTCATGTTCAGCTCCAAGAACTGCGCCTTGATGTAGTTGCTGGCGTCGTCGTATGTGTTTGGGCCTAAAAGAAATCAGGGGTGTGAGGATTTATGAGACATTTCCTGAGTTTTGTTGTTTGAAAAAAAAACTAGATCCAGATCTTTACATCATTCCCTTTGCATGTACATCACACATTTGGTCTAACATAATCACTTGTTTCACATTCTTTAACTGAGGGAACAACAATGTTGCTCCCATTGTCAGCTGTTTTACTTGGTTTTTACCTTTATTATTGTGTATCTCAATCTGTTGTGTTTGTCTTGTGCTACACATACTTCTGTTACACTCTCATATCACAGCCAAAACGTGACTTGGTGGCAGCTGATTGTAATCCACTCTTACTTCCTGCCTGAAAGATCATGTCACCAATTTCCCTGTCTGTGCATGTAGCATGGTATTCTCACTGCTGCAGCAAACCATGTCCTGTCATAGTGACATTATTTATCTGTGTGCAGATAAGACATGAATAATTTTAACAGAATCAGTTGGCTTTACCGTCATAGTCTGGGAAGCAGATACTCAGGTGGACTTTCTTGATCTTCTCTTCAAAGAGATCCTTCTTGTTGAGGAAAAGCACGATGGAGGTCAGTGCGAAGAATCTGTGGTTGCAGATACTGTTGAATAGATGGAGGGACTCGTGCATGCGGTTCTGAAAAAGAGGAACAAAGTGAGTAATTGACGGAGCTCACGTGTCTGTCTTATGCTCTACGACCAGCTAGTGGAGTCTCAACTCACCACTTCGTCGTCCTCTACCAGCACCATGTCATATGCGCTGAGAGCTCCGCAGAAGATGATGCAGGTCACACCCTCAAAACAATGGATCCACTTCTTTCTCTCTGACCTCTGGCCACCCACATCAAACATTCTGTTCACCACACAAAAAGTCAGAACAAGGTTCAAGTGGATGTCATGGTAAGGTTTAGTCAGTTTGAGCAGGTGTTAGACTTTTGTTCAGGGCTTTCCTTTGTGACTTACCTGAAGTGCAACTCTTTGCAGCCGAACTGTTCTTCAATGATACCGGTTGTTTTGACTCGAGATCGCAGCACATCCTGCTCAGTAGGGAGGTAGTCTGGCTTGCAGATTCGTTCCATTTCATTGAGGTAGCTGATGATGGCAGAACAAAGGGTACAACAATCAGGTCTCAGAAATGAAATTGCCTTTATCTGTACATGCAAAGCTAGCTTCCTCTTTAGTTTTACATGTAACCCCACTGGCTGTATCAATCCCAGTAGTAGACATGGACTCACTAGCCAGCGGAGTCGTTCAGTTGGTACTCAGCAGCTCTGTCGAAGCCTGCCTGCACACCACTGTCATTCCACAGCTTCTTGATGACATCAGCCAGCTCAGTAGGCATTGTGCCTTCCTCAATGGAGTCTGACAAGTTCTGCAGTTTCTGTGCGTCCTCCTGTGGGGTCAGTCACATAGAGCAAAGATCCATCAGCACCGTCACAGCACTAAATATAACTATTTATTTATTCATAGTTTGATTCATTGATTTTTATGTCATTGAAAATTAACTCTGAAAGTTAATCGTGTCTGGTGTACATCTTTAAAGTGTCATATGAGACCTGTCCAGAGGACGCGCCAAAATCAATGCCCAGCATCTCCATGCCTCTGATGATAGCCAGAGCAGACTGCAGGATGTTGCCATAGATGATCGCTCTAAACTCCAGTTGTTCCTCTTTTGTGTAACCACCTTGATGGAGAATCCTGAACAGAGGTAAAAGAGTAGAGTGGAAAGTGGTTTAGTTCAGGGAGACATTGCTACATTAAATCTCTGATACTGAGCTGGTGGGACTTCTATATTTCCCTCATAATGTCTATATAGAAATATTTTGTCATTTCTGGAAACATGTCAACTTTAATGAAATAGAAATACTAGTATCTTGCAACTACATGATCAGTTTAGATTTCCATATATCTTAAAAGTAAAGTTCATACAGTTAAAAAAAACAACCTGGACATCTACTTGAGTTAGTGCTCACAGCGCCATCCAGTGTCATGTTTCTGAACTCACTCAGCTATTTCCAGCTAACTGCACAAAACAAGTGCTGACAAATCAGAGTAAGCGGATGTTTGCCCTGTTGACCTTTTGTAAAAAGCTTCACTGCAAGTGAAACAGACAGAAAAGAGGGAGCTTTGGCCTGCTGGCTGTATGCCTGACTGATGAGATTAAAAAAACATTCAGCTCTGCACTGTTCTTCTTTGCCACAGACACAACCAACTCATTTTAATACTTACTTCATTTGTTTTACGATGGTGCTTTTCCCTGACTCACCAGCACCTGGAAGAGAATGAAACGTTTAGAAACAACACCGTAACTGCTGTGTTTCTCGGTGCCGTGCCATTGAGTAGAAACACACTGAATAATAATAAACAGCTGAAGAATGTTTCTTTGAAGATGCCATCAGTGTCCAAAAAAGAAAAAAAATGCTTTTAATTTGACCCAAACTTCTTTCTATCCGTTTGGATGGTCTCAGGATGATGTCTGCCGTCATCACACTGGAACAAAACTCAGTGACATTTAATTTGTTCAACTCAAAAGGGATAAAGAGTCATGCCAGAACTATTCATCAGTAACATCTCTTTATGGAAATCATGAGGCTATTCAAGAAAAATGATTACTGTTGTTGTACTAAAGTCCTGTGTCTCTCTATGCATGCAAGTCAGCATTTGGCCATTATTTAACAGTAGAGCTTTACATGAGCCTTTTTATATAAAACAGAGGCACAGAAAGATGCACAGCAGAGCAAGCAAATAATCTGTGATGTGAAGGTGGGCCGGGGACAAGGCAGTGCTGTCTGTGGCTGTGGAGAGGACGTATTTTAATATGCGCATTCATTTCTGTTATCGTCAGCTGGCCTGTGAAATTATCATAAAGTTGTCTAAAATGTTCTGACTCCCAGTTTCATGTGAAGCCTTGTGATGGTTTAATAGAGGACACTGAACTGGCTAAAGGCTCCGCTAACAGGAACAACATGATCTCCTGGCAACAAAACTCTTCTTGCCTTTTTTTTAATTTGCTGAGCTATGAAGTCTAATTTGATCTTCCATCAGCAGTTAATGTCAGATTATCAGTAGATTTTTGTATATTTAGCACCTCGTTGCCACTGAGCACCAGTGTTTAGGCAAACTTTAACCAATCACACTGGAACTCTGAATGGAGGCTGTCCAGACACATTTAATGCAAACGGCTAGATGAAATGTACCTTGTGCATACATTGTGTGTATATATAAATTATGTGGACTGCACATATACGTACAATTTAAGTCTCACAGTGGGATTGGAAAGCTTGCGGGCAGATCAAGCTCTCTGCAGCCCTGTAAGCTAACTCAGGACAGAAGGAATTTATCACAGAGCAACTAAAGCTGGCTGTTTCCTGCCCTCGCTGGAGCCACATTAAGCTTCATCCACAGACTTACTGCTGAGCATTTAATGAAATCACACTTTCACTCATGTGGCCTCATCAAACACTCTCCAGGAGAAACTATGAGTTTTCCCCTGCTAGCAGTCACTAGTAAGTCAATAACAAGTTAGTTTTGCTAATTTGAGATGAGATGGTAAAGGTGGCACTGTGTCGGCATCCAGATCTGTTTTCATCAGCTTTGATCATTTA